GTGTGTGTGTGTGTGTGTGTGTGTGTGTGTGTGTGTGTGTGTGTGTGTGTGTGTGTGTGTAGGTGTTACACAAAGCCTCTTAAGATGATACATTTACCAAGCCGTGACAAAAACCCTCGGCATATTATTTTGAGATGGGCACGCATGGTTCAAAATTCAAGTGACGTAGAGGAGGTTTATGTGCCCCTTGCAGCTTGTTGGTCCTCCAGTAAATATGAAATAACATCAACCCTGCACTAAGTAGCTGTTACTTAGGTAAAGACAAAGGGAATAATTAAATAAATAGTTAATATTATTATTGTTATTAGTATTATTGTTCTTAATATTATTATTAAATCTACTAAAATGCACTTTCGGCACATGAAACAGAATTAAAAGAGGCCTACCTTCATATTCAGAAGTCTGTTTCTCTTCGAGCACATCTTCCTCCTGCAGGAACCGTTTCAAGTGCAGTCAGTGAAAAGTCGTTCCGCACGTCGCCAAACGGAGAAGCTTTTTGTGTGTGTAATTGCATAGCTGGCTGTACCCCGCAGGTGCGGTGGCTGCGAGTCCCCAAGTGCTCAGGTGTCTCCCCGGTGGGAACCCACCTGGAAATATTGTTTGTACATTTTGGTGCAGGGCCTGCAGCGGGCTGACGGTAGCGGACTGGCTGCTCAGTGGATGGGAGGACAGTTTTAAGGAAATAAGTCGCCCTAAAACCCCCTTTTTTACGACGTGCTGGAATGTGAGAGGACGGTGCAGCCTTGAAGCTCCGCTTTGGTCCCCCGTTTTTTTTTTTTTTTTTTTTTTTTTTTTTTAGGGTTTATTTGTTGTTGTTTTGGGGGTTTTCCTACATATTTAATTCTACTTATATTTCCCGGTCTTCTTCTGCAGATTAATCTGGTGCCTCAACAGAGATGATAAAACATTTTATAATCGACTTTTAATATTGATCGGTTGTCTGGAAGCTTTCGTGATATTATTCTATAATAAAACATCGGTGGTTGTATTTAAACTCGTAAAGTAAAGACGAGAGTGTGAAATTATTAACGCTTAAAAAGAGTTTCCCACTAAAATACTCGACATACATTAAACGCTCTGAGAAGTCTTTATTTTTCGGATATGTTTCGCCTCTCGCCCCCCTTTTTTATTTATAAATTATCTCTTACTTTAATGCTTCCTTTGATGTCATGAAAAAATATAATAAAATGAGAAATAAACTGACTTTTCTTTGCTTTAAACTCCTTCCACCTCTCATCATCCAACGGCGTACCGTTTATTTATTATCAGTGTGCCCTCTCTGCGGTGGGATGGGGATGTTGTCAGTCGCCCTCTCGCTGCCATTGGCTGAAGACTGTGCGTCAAAAAAAAAGTAGCTGGAGACATTTGTTTCCCAGAAAGGAAAAAAAACCCTCCCCACCAGTGTGAGAGACGGAGACAGAGACAGACCTCAGCTCAGTCCTGCGGCTCCCATTGGCTGGCACTTTGTACAAAATCTAACTCAAACCACTTCACTCACAACACACCAACAAATCCTAAAGGCGTACATGCAGCCTCCCTCCTTCACTCCGCCGCTGTCGCAACGCTTCAGAACCTCATGTAGGCGCTCAACGCTTAACTTTTATCTCCAGTGAAGACAGCTGCTCCTGCTCTGCTCGGGTTTGTGATATTCTCCTTTTATGCGACAGGACGTCGTCGATTTCTACTGACTTTTATTATTTCTCCCGGAGGACACCAAGTAGACAAAGAATTTTCCAGTCATCCCTGCCAAGGTAAGTTCAGCTTTATTATTATTATTATTATTATTATTATTATTATTATTATTATTATTATTGTTACACTACCGAAATTTAGTTAAAGCCTGCAATTCCTCACCTGATCACTTCCTCGCCTAATCGTTTTCTTTAGAAGGGGAAGCAAAACGTTTCAACTGGTGCTAAAATAAAAACCCACGAAGACTCTAAAAGAGATCCCAGCGAGGAGGTTTCAGGTTATTTGTTGGCATTAAATATGCCGTCTTAAACCCAGGCTGTCACTGATTTTATGTGTGCACAAATACGGGTGCAATGGGTGCACACAACAAACTGATTTATTATATTAAAGAAAAGAAAAGAAAAGAAAAGAAAAGAAAAGAAAAGAAAAGAAAAGAAAAGAAAAGAAAAAACGGAAATATTGTAAATCACATCAGTAAATCAGTAACTGATAAAATTACATTGTGATAGCTTCTGATACTGAAAACAAGACCAGACTCAGCGTTGGGCTGAAGTTCTCTTGATGTAATAATGGGCTTTTAAATAATTAATTGATTCCTGGAGGTCATATTTTACCAATTTCACACTCACTCACTGATCCAGGACTGCTACAAGGGCGTCTATCCATGTTTACTGAGTTAAGTTTCAGACAAAAATTTCCCACACATACACACACACTGCACTCGTGTATTCTGCGTAAATTAATGCAGGATAAGGGCAGCAAAAATGGGAAACTGTGGAGGCGTCCAGGCTGAAAAGTTCACCGGAAAAAAAGAAGAAGAAAAGAAGGAACATTCGGGCCTGCTACTGAAAATTATTCCTGGGCCTCCTCTGTCTTCTAGCTCTCCTTTGCCTCGGAAAATAAATAATTCATAAGACAATAAACCAACACTTCATTTGGATGGATTCTGTTTGGGGAGGGGGGGGGGGGTCACAATTAGGAGTTTAGCTCAATCAAGCAAATATCTACGAGAGTTTAATTTCTTTACTTTTGCTGATACTTTATGCTTTTTTCCTACTTTATATCAGCAAATTTGCGATGAAATCATAATTAACGCACGAGGATTTGCAGGAAAGAAATATAAAGAAAGAGAGCCGGGTTTGATTTGCAGGAAGCTCTGTGGACTGTACTCACACCAAACTGCAGCTCGGTTAGCTGCCACCTGGATCGCCTCGTTAAATTACGAAGAAAAAAACATTTCTGATAATTAATTATTGGACAGAGTAATTATTATCGAGCGTGTGTGCGCGCAATTGGTTGACGGGTGTGTTCTAAGTGTGACAGATTGGGATGAGGGGGTTAAAACCGTTGGATATTGAAAAGAAAAAAAATGCAACTAATCAAGAGGCTCAGTGGGGATAACGCGTGAGGTTCACTGAAGTTGAAGTGACAGCAGTCAAAATTTACCAAGGAGCAAATTTGTTTATTTAAAAGAACTGCAAAAAAAAAAAAAATGTGTATCGAGAAAGCATGTGTCCATTTTTCTTTCACTGGTTCAATATTTTAAAATGATCTCCTTCTTACATAAAAATAACACAATTTATTCACTAAATGAACCTGAAAATTCAGTAATTTTTACTTTAAATCACATCAATATGGGCGCATATTAATCTTCATCATAAAAATGTAACGTTGACTGTGTGCTTTGTCAGACTAAACGGACTCAGACGTTTTAGTAACAATCAGTTCAACTTCAGCTGTTTTTCTTCTCATCCAATCGGTTATTACATACATACAATCTAATGTTAACATAAACTAAATAATATTCAAAAATAAAAAATAAAGTTAGTTCCTAATAAAATAGATAATTTGCCAGCAACTTTTATTTATTTTTAGCTTTTATTTTGAAGAGATTTATCTTCAATTCATGGTGTTTAATTTTACTGTATAAAGGAGATAGTGGCTTTAACCTGTTGCAATCACAGTGCTCCTTTCTTTTTATTCGTTTTCTTTTATCTTAATCGTGGGAGGGCGTGTGGGGGTTGCAAAGATGAGGACAGCTGGAGAAGTGGCTCGTGCTTTTTGAGGAGAGCCATGCGCTCTGGAAAGGACTTATTTCGCCACAGCGTCACGTAAATAGAGCCAATATCACTTCACGAGAATGTCCGTCTTCCTCTTCTTTTCTTCTTCTTCTTTTAAACAGGTGCCAGGTGTAATACGGACCACACGGCGAACAGAGGACACCGAATACTCCTCGGGAGCTCCATCAATTTTCAAAATTTTCTCCAACTTCAGCACTCAGACAAACATTAGCATGATGTCGTATCTAAAGCAACCACCTTACACAGTTAATGGCCTCAGCTTAACTACTTCCGGCATGGATCTTTTACATCCATCAGTGGGCTATCCAGGTATGTTTAACCTCTTTGAAAATTAAATAAGATGTGATCACACAGCCTGAAAATGACTTAGGGCTCCTTGCTATTATGTTACAGCAATTAACCAGCCCTTCATATACCTTTTTAATTCACGAATTATTATTGCGTGTATTATTATTGTTATTCTTTCTTTTTTAAAAAAAGGAAAACAAATATGAAAAATAAATACATTTATTAGACTGACCAGACCAATACAAACAAAAGGTGATGGAAAGTAGTCTACAGAAAACTTCTAGCGCACACAGCTTGGAGTGAGGACTAATCCTCAAGTCTCTCCGTGTGTGATTTTATTTTTAGATGTGGCTCCAGAGGAAATTACTGGCAAATTACTTTGATGTTTGCATTAAATTTTTTGGCACGTTAGACTCAAAGATGTCAAGTGCTACAATTTGCCACCGGGTTTTTTTTTTTTTTTACTCTCACAGGACTCCTGCGTAATTAGTTTCAAATTTGCCTTTGATGACTTTTTTAAAATTGTACATGTATACATAAATAACCTATGCGATTTTTTTGTTTCTCTTGCACTTACAGCCACTCCACGGAAGCAGAGGCGAGAACGGACTACTTTTACGCGCGCACAGCTCGACGTTTTGGAGGCGTTATTTGCTAAAACTCGGTATCCTGATATATTCATGCGCGAAGAGGTAGCGCTGAAAATCAATCTACCTGAATCCCGGGTACAGGTGAGTCAACTGAAGCCAAGACACATTTAAAATATTGTTATATATTGTAGAATGAAAAAAGTGGCTTTGTTATTTTTTATTTTAATTTGAGAAGCATCAAACGAAACATTTCACTCTGGAACCTGTAAAGTATTTTAGTATTTTAAATAAATAGTATTTTACCTGTACTTGTATTTGATTTAATCTGGGGAAAATTTTTTTTTTACTTCTTTTGAAGGGAACCCCAGGCTTAAAAAATTGTTTTTTTTATTTTATTTTATTTATTTTTTGCTTTACATGTACTCTAAAACGCCCCCCACCTCACCCCGAACAGCAATATATTTACCGTGTTTTATCATCTTTCAGTTATTAGGACTGTTCCAATTACGTTTAAATAATTTTACTGGGGCAAAAAAGCCTTTTTATACATATGTATAGCCCCTTTTCCTATTTAAACTGTTAGTATAGCTTGGTTAGTATTTATGGGGACATTGTAATGAATGTGTTCAATTATGTTCCTGCTTTAGGTCTGGTTTAAAAACCGGCGGGCAAAGTGTCGCCAGCAGCAGCAGCAGCAGCAGAATGGGGGGCAGAACAAAGTGCGACCTGCCAAAAAGAAAAGTTCCCCAACCAGAGAAGTGAGCTCGGAAAGCGGGGCCAGCGGCCAGTTCACACCCCCCACCAGCACCACCACGGTCCCCGCCATCTCTACCAGCACCGCGCCAGTGTCCATATGGAGTCCGGCGTCCATTTCTCCCCTCTCAGATCCCTTATCTACCTCCTCCTCTTGCATGCAGAGGTCTTATCCCATGACCTACACACAGGCCTCGGGCTACAGCCAGGGCTACGCCGGGTCGACGTCCTACTTCGGGGGTATGGACTGCGGCTCTTACCTCACTCCCATGCACCACCAGTTGTCAGGTCCGGGGTCAACTCTCAGTCCGATGAGCACAAACGCAGTCACAAGCCATCTGAACCAGTCCCCGGCGTCCCTCTCCACCCAGGGATACGGGACGTCCGGCCTTGGCTTCAACTCCACAGCAGACTGCTTGGATTATAAGGACCAAGCGGCATCGTGGAAGCTGAACTTCAATGCCGATTGCTTGGATTATAAGGATCAAACGTCCTCGTGGAAATTCCAGGTCCTGTGAACCGAGCAATCAGCTATCAAAAAGTGCACAAACAGTGACGATCACACGAGACACAGCGCTGCCATCCCTCAACAGAACACTTCAGACTGGGTAAAAACGTGAGCCTGGTACACCGAGGCAGGGCTCTCAGGGGGGCCTCTAGTTTTTGGCATGATGGTCTTTGGTCCTCCTAGAGGAGAAGTTAATGTATTTTAGCACTGGCAAAGAGATTTCCCCTCTCCCGTTTATTCACCGGTTGTAGACCTTCTTTATCTGTCAGTGCGTACCTATGTGCGTAAAAAACAGACAAACAAACAAAAAAACACCACCTGTTGAGGACGTCACAGAGTGGACTCAGAAAGAAAAGCACACCACAGCCACGGAAGTAAAAGAACAAAACCCAAGTTAATAGTCCTGCTGAAGTGCTCGGGATGGACAGACCTTCTTAAAGCTTCTTAAACAACTTTGCCGCCCTGCCGGCAGAGTGTGTGACACGAGGATGGCGTGTGGACATGGATGCACTACTTTATTTAAGAAAAAAAAGTGTTTATAAGGAATCAATATGTAGTTTCTAAGAGACAATCAGTGTGCGTCTTATATAAATGGTACATATGTGGTTTCTTTTTTTTTTAAATCTGTGCTAGCCTTCGAAACTGTGATCTGTTGTATTGTATGCAATTTGTGAGCCCCCCCCCCCTCCCCCTCGCATCGGACTCTCTGCTGTGATTTTATTAGATTTCTAACTTTTTCGTTTTCTTTCGTTTTTGTTTCTTTTGGGGTTTTTTCACCAACGAAAGATGCTAATGGTTATTTTTACTGCATCACAAAGAGAGACGAGACTTTCCAAGCACATGGTGGATGGTAGTAATAATCAAGGGTTAGCCATACTGGAAAAGACTCTCGGCTGCTGAGAGCTCTACACTTGCTTCCCCTCCATTGATCTCAACACACGGTGATTGTGGATCCTTTACTGGCTCCAAAGATGGTGTGACCTCACCGCTGAAAAGACATGAATAAAGGTCCTGTGAGCTTACTCTTTCATCAATAGACGATCTGTGTGTGCGTGTGCGTGTTGGAAATTAAAGTGGAACCCTGGCAATGTGCGCAAAAATCATGGTTGTTTAAGGGGGGGGTTCTTCGTTTTCTACGACTTTAAGACCTAAAAATGGAACAGAACCTTTGTGGGTACTATTTTTTTTTTCCAATCGAGGCTGCGGTGGTATATGTGCGTGATGAGGCAAAGAGGGAAAACCAGAACTTTCGCATTAATTAAGCCAATAATGGCCGTCTGAGTAATAATTAGCCTACACTTGTGCGTGCCGACCAAACTCTGTTTTCTCACGCGTAATTAGTTTTTCTATCACGTCTTAAAAACAGCCCAACGCATTAACGCCCATGTGTTGTCTTTCGACGAGTTTCAGAGCCATCCAGTGTTCATAGTGGTAATGCGCCACATAAACTTAATCCTCTCCTTTCCCTTTATTTAATCGCAAAAGAAAAAAAGAAGAAGAACGAATTAATGCCGCATTGTTTCCGGTAGTGCAATTCAGACAGTGAAGGAGAGTGTGCGGTTTGAGAAAGCAGTGTTTAATCCCGGACTCCAAGAGATGTTAATCCCAATATTTTACCGGCGGGGGTTTCTCTGGGGCGCAGGGCAGCCGTGGTCCTATTCAAAGCCCGCGCGGCGTGGCTTTCCACGCCTGATCCCTGGATGAGCTCTTTAATATAAAGGCTAATATTTAGTGTTTCACAAGTGCGCTGATATGACATCAATATATCAAGAAACAACGTTAATTTGCTCTCACTGCCCTGAAAATAGACCAGTAAGAGATACACATAAGCGAAAAATAAATGAAAACATACAACACTTGATTTTGGTTTGCTCTGTTGTGGGGTTTACAGTTTAAGAAGTGCTTATAGCAGTGCAGTTGTACAAAAGTAAGAAATTGGCTCAAAAAGAGGGCAAGAAAAACTCCGCACAATATTCCTGTAACTTTATTCCCACATGCGCGGTGTGTTTAATTAAGTGCAGAGGAGAGGTTATGTCTTAAGGGGGAAAAGAAATCAATACATTTTAGGACTCAAGAGGAGAAAGCTGCTTTTAAAAGAGGGTTTGTTGTTATTTACTTTTTATTGCTCCAACTTTCAAGTCCGACGTTACTCTTTAAGACGACAGACAATAAAGTCAAAGCGGGTATGGGATCTGTAATGACTCGACATGGTTGTGCAGCGGGCTAATTGTTAGAAGTCCAACATTCAATTAGCATCCTTGACATTGCCAATAATCTCTCTTTCATTGGAGTCTCCGCTAAAGGATCACACTAATTAAAAGCGTTGCTTGAAATAATCGAAGCGTTAAAGAGAAGAGCGACTTTGATTCCACTCCTGCGTGGTCAGAAAATAGGTGTGTGTGTGCGTGTGTGTTTGTTTTATGAGGTTGAACTGCAGTTTAGAAAGACTTAATTATATAACAGGCCGTATAACTTATTCAAGGTTGAAGCACAAACAGCAGATTATTTATGGGTTCTCACTGCTGGATGCTCCTTTTAATTTAGCCTATTACACACGCAGATTGCAGCGTTATTCAACAGTAAATTACAGCCTAAGTTCGCGCAGTGCACCGCCAGGTTTAGCAACATACATGTATTTCGTTATGGTCATAAACAATGAAGCAATTGAACTCGGAAACAATAGCTTTGTTTAGTGGGTGACTGAATATTCATGAGATGCGTCAACAACTCCTTCATAGAGTCTGCTGAGGATGGAGGGAGGGGGTTCAGACTGCAGGGTCACTTTCAAATGCCAGACAAGGAGGGAAAAACTGTAAGAGAACGAGACAAGGTGCAAGAAAGGGGACTGGAGAATAAGAAGCATGGCAAAGGTTTGAAGATGACTCCCTTCAGAGACTAAAAGGCTGGTAACCCGGTTAAATGTAATCATACAGCAGCACATCACAAAAAAAGTGTAGGACACTTAAAAAGTGTGAAGAACCTACAACATTATGACAGAAACAATCTCAATCGGAATAAATGTACATTCTTGAAAAGGCATGATAAGTCCCACAATTACACTTAGGCGTCCGCACATGACATGAAGAATTATATATAAATATATACACACACCGTAAACATACTTGTCACTTTCGCATTTAATGCTGAGTGATATAACCAATAGCAGCTGAAAGGTTCCTTTTCTCCGCTTGTTATTCTGACCCCGGAGTCTCGTGTCTTCAAAGTGCACAAGTCATGAGAGGGATTAGGCGTCCGGCCTTCACAATACTTCAATACTTCATACACAGCCTACAATGAGTTTTAATCAAGACCAAAGCAGTCCTGAGGAGCATATGGGACCAACAGACGCTGCATTAATCCCTCTTGGTTTTTGTCTAACAGCGGGCCGCGCAGCGCCCCTCATCCCCTGGTCTGCTGTCCGGTCTGTAACAACTGCGAGTCATCCTCTGCATCATCGGCCTGCGCAAAGTTTGCCGGTTGAGGCCTCAACGCCCGCGGGAGGAAATGGGGAGGATTACAAACCGAGTGTGTGGTCTGATCGGGGGTTGTGAAAATTAGACAGATGAGAGTAAGTGATCATTTTATAAAATAAGGCAAAAAAAAAAAAAAGACAAAGAAGAGGAAGAGAGAGAGATAAATATTAGCTGCTGAACTCAGTGAATTTTCATTTAAATGCAAAGAACACCAATTTTTATTACTGAGGGAGATTATTAAAATAGCTGGTTAGGAATATTGGACAGGTTTGGAAAAAGTGTAAACATTATTTAATGGCTCTGAATAAGAAAAAAACTGTAATTCAAAAAAAAGTCTTAAAACATGTCTAAAAGCCTGCATGCTTTGTACATATAGTATACTTGTATATATTTATGGCTAAAAAATGTAATAATTCTTTTTAAATCAATAAAATGATGACTTTCAGGTGAATATGTACAAAAAACTAATACAAAATAATAAATAAATATTTTAAGCTAATCCAGCAGTATCCCCTTGAAAGTGCTTATCCAGGCTTAGTCGACATTTTCTGAAATTATTTAAGTTTGTGACATCATCAATTAATTTGATAATCTTGTCAAAGATTAAATTAAAGGGGTTTTGTATAGCCTACATAATAACAGATTTAGATGTTTTAAAAAATGAAGTCTAAAGAGATTTGAAGTAAGCGCAGTAAAAAGCATGTTATTTTAATTTCTCAGACTGCTCACACAAATCCGTGGATTTACAGAGATCCAAAACTGATAATGATACTAGGAAGCTAGACTAGGAGGTCTCAAAATGCAAAGGGCCACACATTGTTCGTGCAGCAGCAGCACCGCAGAACCTGTAACCTCAAAAATATCCTCAGCATTATTTGCTCCACGGCTGATTTATAGCTTTCTGTGGTAAAAAAAAAAATAAAATAAAAATGCATGTCAAGAGACTTTTTAAAAATTCTATGGCTACTGGGTCAACGGGGTCCTTTGCCCTGGTAAGTGCTCTTTAAAAAAACTGTTTCACCAAATATGCCCAAACATTTGGCTTATGATGTTCATAAGCCCCACAGGACACAGCGGGCTTATCAGTTCATTAGCCACTTGATGGCCTATTTCAAGTTATAGTAGCTGGGAGGAGGGTGATGGATGAGGATACAACCATCCATTACTGGGGCATATTTTTTTAAGCTATTCAGAAATGTAGAAAAAACCCACCAAACCCATAAGAAGATTACCAGACCTCAGCATATGTTAAAAAACACATTACTACTATACTTATGGATCAACTTAATACCTAGTTAGATAAAGCTCACCTAGTTAAGACTGGGCATCCATCCATTATTGAACAAAACAATTTTAGACACAAAGGTATATATAAGAAATGATACATTTATACTCTGCAATGATTTTAGTTTTTTTTAATTTATTTTGTAACAGTAACTACATTTTAAAAAAGCTGAAATTCAGCATTTTTTAAAACTCTTTGGATTAAATGTTTCCCAGACATTAAAAAAAATCTCTCCACCAGACAAAATGGAAATACTTTCAGTGTGGATTATGTGTCATCCTAATGGTGCCGAACCACGAGGAGCGAAGTGCTGAAATATTAAAAGTGTAACTGGTGGTTAATATGGCTCAAAAGGTCACACATATGATTTCAACGCGTAATATATTAAACAGAGCCACATATGGCTTCAAGTGAAATACACGAAATTCTCATTATTGTCAGAGGGGTGCAAACGTGGTATCATACGTCAAACGTGCACTGAGTCCTTAACAAATAAATATTTCTGTCTGTTACGAGTGCAAAAAATAAAAATAAAAAATGAATTAAAAAAATAACCAAAACTAATATTTCACAGCCTTCCTTTGATTCCCAGTTTTCTTTTAATTTTTTTGAGGAAGGCCTCTATATTGCATAAAATCTCCAGAAACAGTTACATTTTTCCCCCACACTGCTGTCAAATTCCAACTTTCTAGCTCACAATATTTGTGCATGGTTTACTCCATAAAATGTAAAACATCAGCCAAAATGACTCATGGATATAAACTACTGTGTTACCCACATGCTATCCAGCTGAATCACAGCAAAGTGAGGATCAAGTGTTACTAAAAACAAGTACAAAACAATGCAAAGCACAAGAAACCTCCTCGATTGTGCCACTTAAAAACATTTACACAGCGAGTAAGCTTTTAATGCTCGTTTCTGTTTTACTTACTCAGTTTTGAAGGGGGAAATAGCGGGAACAGCTGACATTTGACATTACATGCAAAACCATGATCAAACCCAATAGTTAATGGCCTCAAACACACCTTTTGATCACAAACAGCTTACAAATTTAATGACTTCATGGTGAACTGAGCCAATTTCTCTCCATTCTTGCAGTATTCTCACCACAGGCGACGCAAAATATCAAAAACTCGCACAGTATATCTCAAAAGAGAGAAAAGAAGTTGTGCAACAATATACTTTAATAATTCAAATTAATACTCTGCCCTCTTAATTCAGCAGTGTCACTGAATTAATCCATAAAAGGCGATCTACTCCTCAG